GTCCCCGGCCCTGCCCGGTCCCTCCCTCCGGTGCGGGTCTCACTCGCCGCCGCAGTCTCGGCTTCCAGAAGGCGGAAGCGTCGCGTTGCCATGGACGCTCAAAGGCTCCACCTTCCACCTGGAACGCAGCGGCGCGCGGGTCGTGGCCCCCCTGGAGGCTGCCCGGGTGCTCTGGCTGGGCGGCTGGATGCAGAGCCCCCTAAGCCCTTTTTCCTGTGCACCAACCCCTTCCATCGACTCTCTGACCCCAATCACTATCTCAGAATGTTGACCGTTTCCATCGTAAAAGTGCTGTCCTTGTCCACTTCAGCACCCACACCCCTTTGGGGTGACTCCCCGCCCTGGGAGTTCCCGAACCATTCCGATTTCTGCTGATGGCCTGTCCTGTCGAATTTGAAGACCTTCTGTTTGGCCACCGTCAGTAAGAAATGGAACGTGCGCGCCATTGAGAAACACCAGGGCCTTTCTGGGAGGAGAGATTGGCCAGCATTTCTCTCCGTGGCATTGTCCAGTGGTGCCTGGGCTTCACTTGCGGGAGCGAAGTTGGAAACGCGGTGTCACCCAATGACTGGTGGTCAAAGCCACAGCTTCGCCCCGAACCGCGTCTCAAGCGCCGCAGAGCAAGCTTAGTTCTGACCTCCAGACAGAACACGTTTCTTTTCAAAAATGAAGGAAAAGGACCGGGAGGGGCTTCCCCTAGCCAATCTGAAAGAAAACACGGAAGGGCCAATGAGGTTTGGGAGGAGTGGGTGATAAGTCATTTATTACTAATAGTTGTCACTGGAGATTTATGCACTTAGAGACACTGCAGAAAAACCTCTTGAGATAAGGCTATATGATTGATTGATAATTGACTGATTGATTATCAGAATACCTTGCCCGGAAGGGGAGAACTCAATATGACAACATATCCACTTCCTAGGGCTATAGCTTCATATCAGGGAGCCTTGGTGGTGCTGTGGGTCAAGCACTGGGCTAACTAAAAGGTATGTGATTCAAACCCACCAAGCCTTTCGGGCAAAAAAGGGGAAGCACTCAGCTTCCCAAATGATTTAC